GGAGGAGGAAGGATGGAGGAGGAGGAAGAATGGAGGAGGAAGGAAGGACGGAGGAGGAAGGATGGAGGAGGAAGGAAGGAAGGACGGAGGAGGAAGGACGGAGGAGGAGGAGGAAGGACGGATGGAAGGACGGAGGAGGAAGGACGGAAGGAAGGAGGACGGAAGAGGATGGAGGAAGGAAGGACGGGGTAGGAGGGAGGAAGGAAGGATGGAAGGAGGAGGGAGGATGGAGGAGGAAGGAAGGAGGAAGGATGGAGGAGGAGGAAGGACGGTGGAGGAAGGAAGGACATGGAAGAAGGAAGGATGGAGGAGGAAGGAAGGACGGAGGAGAAGGAAGGACAGAGGAGAAGGAAGGACAGAGGAGAAGGAAGGAAGGATGGAGGAAGGAAGGATGGAGGAAGGAAGGACAGAGGAGAAGGAAGGATGGAGGAGGAGGAGGAAGGATGGAGGAGGAGAAAGGATGGAGGAGGAAGGAAGGGCGGAGGAGGAGGAAGGACGGAAGGAAGGATGGAGGAGGAAGGAAGGAGGACAGAGGAGGAAGGACGGATGGAAGGAAGGACGGAGGAGGAAGGACGGATGGAAGGACGGATTGAAGGACGGATGGAAGGAGGAGGAAGGAAGGAGGACGGAGGAGGACGGAAGGAGGACAGAGGAGGAAGGACGGAGGAGGAGGAAGGACGGATGGAGGAGGAAGGAGGAGGAAGGAAGGATGGAAGGAAGGACATGGAAGAAGGAAGGGAGGAGGAAGGAAGGACGGAGGAGAAGGAAGGACAGAGGAGAAGGAAGGAAAGATGGAGGAAGGAAGGATGGAGGAGGAAGGAAGGACAGAGGAGAAGGAAGGAGGAGGAAGGACAGAGGAGAAGGAAGGATGGAGGAGGAGGAAGGATGGAGGAGGAAGGAAGGGCGGAGGAGGAGGAAGGACGGAAGGAAGGATGGAGGAGGAAGGAGGGAGGACAGAGGAGGAAGGACGGATGGAAGGACGGAGGAGGAAGGACGGATGGAAGGAGGAGGAAGGAAGGATGGAAGGAAGGAGGACGGAGGAGGACGAAGGACGGAAGGAAGGACGGATGAGGAAGGAAGGAGGACAGAGGAGGAAGGACGGATGGAAGGACGGAGGAGGAAGGACGGATGGAAGGAGGAGGAAGGAAGGATGGAAGGACAGAGGAGGAAGGACGGATGGAAGGACGGAGGAGGAATGAAGGACGGCTGGAAGGAAGGAGGACGGAGGAGGAGGAAGGACGGATGAGGAAGGAAGGAGGACAGAGGAGGAAGGACGGATGGAAGGACGGAGGAGGAAGGACGGATGGAAGGAGGAGGAAGGAAGGATGGAAGGAAGGAGGACGGAGGAGGACGAAGGACGGAAGGAAGGACGGATGAGGAAGGAAGGAGGACAGAGGAGGAAGGACGGAGGAGGAAGGACGGAGGAGGAAGGACGGAGGAGGAAGGACGGAAGGAAGGACGGAGGAGGAGGAAGGAAGGACGGATGGAAGGAAGGAGAAGGAAGGATGGAAGGAAGGAGGAAGGAAGGATGGAAGGAGGAGGGAGGATGGAGGAGGAAGGAAGGATGGAGGAGGAGGAAGGATGGAGGAAGGAAGGATGGTGGAGGAAGGAAGGACGGAGGAAGGAAGGATGGAGGATGAAGGAAGGAAGGATGAGGAAGGAAGGAGGGAAAGGAAGGACAGAGGAGGAAGGAAGGATGGAGGAGGAAGGAAGGACAGAGAAGGAAGGACAGAGGAGAAGGAAGGATGGAGGAGGAAGGACGAAGGCGGAGGAAGGACGGAGGAGGAAGGAAGACAGAGGAGGAAGGACGGATGGAAGGACGGAGGAGGAATGAAGGACGGCTGGAAGGAAGGAGGACGGAGGAGGAAGGAAAGACGGAGGAGGAAGGAAGGATGGAAGGAAGGCGGAGGAAGGACGGCTCTGACCTCTGCGGAGGAAGGGAAGGAAGGAGGAGGAAGGACGGCTCTGACCTCTGCGGAGGAAGGGAAGGAAGGAGGAGGAAGGACGGCTCTGACCTCTGCGGAGGAAGGGAAGGAAGGAGGAGGAAGGACGGCTCTGACCTCTGCGGAGGAAGGGAAGGAAGGAGGAGGAAGGACGGCTCTGACCTCTGCGGAGGAAGGGAAGGAAGGAGGAGGAAGGACGGCTCTGACCTCTGCGGAGGAAGGGAAGGAAGGAGGAGGAAGGACGGCTCTGACCTCTGCGGAGGAAGGGAAGGAAGGAGGAGGAAGGACGGCTCTGACCTCTGCGGAGGAAGGGAAGGAAGGAGGAGGAAGGACGGCTCTGACCTCTGCGGAGGAAGGGAAGGAAGGAGGAGGAAGGACGGCTCTGACCTCTGCGGAGGAAGGGAAGGAAGGAGGAGGAAGGACGGCTCTGACCTCTGCGGAGGAAGGGAAGGAAGGAGGAGGAAGGACGGCTCTGACCTCTGCGGAGGAAGGGAAGGAAGGAGGAGGAAGGACGGCTCTGACCTCTGCGGAGGAAGGGAAGGAAGGAGGAGGAAGGACGGCTCTGACCTCTGCGGAGGAAGGGAAGGAAGGAGGAGGAAGGACGGCTCTGACCTCTGCGGAGGAAGGGAAGGAAGGAGGAGGAAGGACGGCTCTGACCTCTGCGGAGGAAGGGAAGGAAGGAGGAGGAAGGACGGCTCTGACCTCTGCGGAGGAAGGGAAGGAAGGAGGAGGAAGGACGGCTCTGACCTCTGCGGAGGAAGGGAAGGAAGGAGGAGGAAGGACGGCTCTGACCTCTGCGGAGGAAGGGAAGGAAGGAGGAGGAAGGACGGCTCTGACCTCTGCGGAGGAAGGGAAGGAAGGAGGAGGAAGGACGGCTCTGACCTCTGCGGAGGAAGGGAAGGAAGGAGGAGGAAGGACGGCTCTGACCTCTGCGGAGGAAGGGAAGGAAGGAGGAGGAAGGACGGCTCTGACCTCTGCGGAGGAAGGGAAGGAAGGAGGAGGAAGGACGGCTCTGACCTCTGCGGAGGAAGGGAAGGAAGGAGGAGGAAGGACGGCTCTGACCTCTGCGGAGGAAGGGAAGGAAGGAGGAGGAAGGACGGCTCTGACCTCTGCGGAGGAAGGGAAGGAAGGAGGAGGAAGGACGGCTCTGACCTCTGCGGAGGAAGGGAAGGAAGGAGGAGGAAGGACGGCTCTGACCTCTGCGGAGGAAGGGAAGGAAGGAGGAGGAAGGACGGCTCTGACCTCTGCGGAGGAAGGGAAGGAAGGAGGAGGAAGGACGGCTCTGACCTCTGCGGAGGAAGGGAAGGAAGGAGGAGGAAGGACGGCTCTGACCTCTGCGGAGGAAGGGAAGGAAGGAGGAGGAAGGACGGCTCTGACCTCTGCGGAGGAAGGGAAGGAAGGAGGAGGAAGGACGGCTCTGACCTCTGCGGAGGAAGGGAAGGAAGGAGGAGGAAGGACGGCTCTGACCTCTGCGGAGGAAGGGAAGGAAGGAGGAGGAAGGACGGCTCTGACCTCTGCGGAGGAAGGGAAGGAAGGAGGAGGAAGGACGGCTCTGACCTCTGCGGAGGAAGGGAAGGAAGGAGGAGGAAGGACGGCTCTGACCTCTGCGGAGGAAGGGAAGGAAGGAGGAGGAAGGACGGCTCTGACCTCTGCGGAGGAAGGGAAGGAAGGAGGAGGAAGGACGGCTCTGACCTCTGCGGAGGAAGGGAAGGAAGGAGGAGGAAGGACGGAAGGACGGCTCTGACCTCTGCGGAGGAAGGGAAGGTGGTCGTCTTGCACGGCTCCGTAGTACAGGTCGGGGTGGAAGTACGAGACCTCCAGGGGATGAGACCGCAGGAGGGTCAGGTGATGTAGCCGCTTCTCTGCAGGAAGAAGAATGACATCATTTCCTGTCTCAGCACCAGGCGGTCAGAGGAAGGGGGAGGGGCCTCATCCATATCTGTGACTAGGGTACAGTGGCCCCGCCCTGGTCCTCCCATGACCTCCATATGTAGCCTCGGAGTCAGTTGGAGGTTCTGTGTCCGTAAAGTGGGACCCGACCGTGACATCACAGGGACCCGACCCTG